TTCCTGAGTGGGTCCCCCGGATATGTAGCTCTCAATCTGTGTCTTGGAAGAATCTACTCAACCCTGCAATCACTAGCGGGGAGCCAGAGTATGCTGAAGTTTGTGCGTGCTTGGCGGGCTCAGCTCCTCCAAGCCCATCCGGGTGCGGCCTGAGCGGCTGTCAGGGCCCCGGGGTGTGCCCAGGGCAGCACAGACCCTGACCCAATCCAGGGTGGCAAAAGGACAAGGGTAAACCCAGGAATGAGATCCCAAGTGCGAGTGCTGCACAGCTGCAAAGCTGGAGTCCGTGCCTGCCCCACACTCACTGAGGCTGGACAGGAGTCACAGCTGCAGGGGTGTTCACAGGGGAGGAGCTGGCACTCTTCTACTTCTCTAAGGGACACTCAAACCCACTGGTGTCTCCCTGTAAGCAGACAGGTGTGTGCTGGGTGACGCTGGAAGGGGCTGCTGCTGGCTGGAGTGTCCGTTGGTTTTCAGCTGAGGGGTATGCCCACGGAATGCAAAAGACTCTTTTGGGGCCTATTCACAACCATGGTTCAGAAATTAGGAATGTGGGTGGGGTGCTGGAGGTCTATCAGTGCTCCGGAGAAACAGGACCAGTCCAGTGGTTTGGTGTGCCAGGGTGCTGCTGGGGCCCTGGGTACCAGGAACTCTGGATGTACTCTGGGGCCCAGGTACCAGGGATCATGGGTGTACACTGGGGCCCGCCTACCAGGGATCAAGGGAGAACTCTCGGTCCCGGGTTCCAGAGATTCCCAATATATTCTGGGGTGTAGGTACCAGGGATCCCGGGTGTGCTCTGGGTCCGGATTTCCAGGGATCCTGGGTGTACTCTGCAGTGTAGATACCAGGGATCCCGAGTTTACTCTGGGTCCCAAGTACAGGGGATCCCGGGTGTATTCTGGGGCCAAGGTACAAGGATCCTGGGTGTATTTTTGGGCCAAGGTACTGGGGATCCCAGGTTTATTCTGGGCTCGGATACCGGGGATCCCAGGTGTACTCTGGTTCCCAGATATCGGGGATCCCAGGTATATTCTGGGGTGTAGGTACTAGGGATCCTGGGGGTACTCTGGGGTCCAGGTTCCAAGGATCCCAGGTGTACGCTGGTGCCTGGGTACTGTGGATCCCGTGTGTACTCTGGGGCCAAGGTACAAAGATCTCCTGGGTGTACACAAGGCCTAGATATCTGGGAAACTTGGTGTACTCTGGGGCCCAGATAACAAGAGATCCCAGGTGTAGTCTGGGGTGCAGGTACAAGGGATCCTGGATGTACTCTGGGGCCCAGGTACCAGGTGTCTCAGGTATCTCTGGTGCCTGAGTACTGGGGATTCCAGTTGTACTATGGCGCCAAGGTACAAGGATCCTGGGTGTACTCTGGGGCCTGGGTACCTGGGATCCCGGGTGTACTCTGAGTCCTGGATCCTGGGGATCCTGGGTATACTCTTGGTCCCGGATATTGGGGATTTGGGGTGTACTCTGGGGTCAAGGTACAAGGATCCTGGATGTACTCTGAGGCCTGGGTACCAGGGATCCAGGGATCCAGGGTGTACTCTGGGTCTGAATACCCGCAATTCGAGTTGTGGTGCTCTGTGTCACACCAGAGAGGTACAAGGCCACAGGCCCATCCAAGTTGACCCCACCCAGACAGCACTTTACCTCATCCTCTCTTTCTGGTTCCAGCATTAGGTGAGTTTTGAATGGCTTTTTTTTTTTCTTAATTGAATCACCATGAGATACAGCCATAAAGTCCTTGTGCCCGAGTTTTGGTCACACAACGATCAAACACCCCCCCCCCCCCAGTGCACACCCTCCACCACCAAAATCCCCAGTATCCCCCCCATCTCAACCCCTCCCTCGTCTGCACGGCAGACAATTTCCACAACTCTTTCTCTCTACTTTTATTACATTCAATATTTAGACACCACTCCCACCATTATTTGGAACTTTCTCACCACCACTCAAACCTGCCGAAAGGCAATGCTAGACAATTTGTATTGTATTGCTTGTCATGAATAGCACATAATGCTGCGCGACTGTGAGAGCAGCCACGTGGCCCCGGAATTCCAAAATTTCAACAGTTAGGGTCTGGAGAGATCTCTGCAGCAAGCCAATCGGCTCCGAGACTCATCTGTGTGTCTCTGGATCACGACTGCCCAGAAGCCCAATAAGCAGCCGGGGGCACTTCACGGGCACCATCCCAGAGTCCCATCATGGTGGGGAGAAGCAGAGGGACCGGCTCCTCCCCTGTCCTGCGAGGCCTGGTGCCTGCCACCACTGTTCCCGCATACCTGGAGCCCCATCGAGTTCTGGAAGATGACGGCTGCCGGGATTCCCAGGGGGCAGGCGGAGGGACAGCACCTGCTCCCGTTGGGAGTAGCCCTGCCAAAGTGGCCTATTGCAAAGCCGGAGGCATCTCTGCAGTGAGCTACTCAGTTCCGAGACTCGTCTGTGTGTCTCTCGTGTTTTGAATGGTTCTAAGCTTAAAGGCTTGTGTTTCTGAAACACAAACCCACCCAATAAGAGGTATAGATTATCCAGCATCTGTTCCATAAAGTGATCCCTTTTTGGAGGATCCAACACCTGACAGTGCTTGGGGGCGGAACCCGTGATTGCCTAAAGTAAATCACGTGCTCTGGGCATCTGAGCTGCCCTCGTGGCCCCAAGGCAAAGCATGGGCTTCCTGACTGCACCAGTAGGCTTCCTGCCCGCTCCCTCCCCCACCCCCCTACACACACACACACACACACACACACATTCTCTCTCTCTCTCTCTCTCTCTCAAGACTGACACTCATGCTTCAGTGCTACAGACAGTGCAAAGTCCAGAAAAATGATCTCTTTGTGTAAGGCCAGGAATTGATCACTAAAGGTAAAAACACACATAGGAAAATGGCAAGAAAGAATATGATAAGGGGCTGCCGAGAGGCTCAGAGGGTTGCAGCACAGGCTTTCTCGTGAAAGACCCAGGTTAGAGCCCCAGGTCAGAGCCCTGGGTTAGAGCCCCTGGGTTACCGGGTTAGAGTCCAGGTTAGACCCCGGGTTAGAGCCCCAGGTCAGAGCCCTGGGTTAGAGCCCCTGGGTTACCGGGTTAGAGCCCAGGTTAGACCCCGGGTTAGAGCCCCAGCTGAGAGCCCTGGCCCCACATATTCCCCCTAGTACCACCAGGACTGGGAACAGTTCTTCAGCTGTGCTGTTTGTGGCCCCCAAACAAAAACTTATAAAATTTACCATCCTCGGGCTCAAGACATAATACAGGGTTGAGGCACTTGCCTTGCATGTAGCTGACCAGGTTCAATCCCTGGCATGCTGAAGTGTCCCCCAAGCCTGCCAGGAGTGTTCGCTGAGCCGACAACAGGAGTCAGCACTGAGCACTGAAAGGTATGCTCCAAAAACCAAAACAAAAAATTGAAAGCTGCTGGGGTATGGTGCCACCAGCAGGTCAATCTGTACCACTGAGGCGAGTACATCAGCAGCCTGATGGCGCCTTCAGACTTCCAGATACCCCAAAATTGCTGCTGTGCCTTTGGCCAGACCCAAAAAACTTGGGGCAAAGTTTACCAAGAAAGTATACGGCCAAAAGTTTACACAAACCCACACACCCACAAACCACCTCTGGCTCAGTTATATTATTGGAGGCAAGGCCTCTCTGGTTCCTGATCTAACTGCTTGATGGCTACGATCCCAGAGACTCAGAAAAAAAAATCTTGGAACCCAGTGGCTTTTGGCAGAAACGTAGTTTGGTCCCCACAGTAGGTAACCGGTGCCAGACCACCCCAGAGGGGAAAGGGTGCTGTCCCTCTGCCTGCTCCCCCTTGGCGACTCGGTGGCCGTCATCTTCCAGAGGCCACTGGACAGTCAGGTTTGTGCCCACAGTGATGAGACATGAAGGGCCTCACAGGATGGGGGTGGAGCTGGCCCTTTCCACCCCCCCAGTGAGACCCCAGGTTGCTGCCCACGAAGGGCCTCTCTGGCTCCTGATCAAGTTGCTTAATGGCCATGATCCCAGAGACTCAGGAACAAATCTCGGAACCCAGCAGGTTTTGGTAGAAATCCCTCCAGATTTAATTGTTAAAATTTAGGAATTTCAAAATCACATGGCCATGACTACGGCCGCGTGACATCATATGTTATTCATAAACAGCAATAGAAAACAAATTGTCTACTGTTGCCTTTTTGGCAGATCTGAGTGTTGGGGTAAAATCCCAAATGATAATGGTGGGTCTGCTGTCAAAATATTGAATGTAATCAAAGTGGATAGAGAGTAATGTGGAAATCATCTGCCCCACAGGCAGGGGGAGGGTGTGGAATGGGGGATATACTGGGGTTTTTGGTGGTAGAGAATGGGCACTGGTGAAGGGACAGGTGTTTCATCATTGTATGACCGAGACAGACCCGAAAGCTTTGTAACTGCTCTCACAGTGATTCAATAAATTTATAAAAAAGAGGAAAAAATAGTAAGGTGGAGTTCATGTCCAGTTCAATCAGCCTAATCAATGGCTGAATAATTAGAAATACTCCTACATTAAAAAAAAAATGAAAGCTGGCTGAAGCAATAGTACAGCAGGTAGGGTGATTGCCTTGCACACAGCCAATCCAGGTTTGATTCCTAGCACCACATATGGTCCCCTGAGCACTACCGAGTGTGACTCATGAGTGCAGAACCACAAGTAACCACTGAGCATCACCCCAAAACAAAAACACAAATCTGAAAAATAAGGTTTACTACCCTAACCCTTTTCTGATGCCCAGGTCATGGGTCCTCCCACACATCTATGGGCCTCTTATACCAGAGACTGGAGGTGGCTGCGGGGAAGGGAGGGGCGGGCTGGTACTAAGGGATCACTCCTGGCAGGGGCAGGGGACACTGTGTGGTGCTAGGGATGGAGCTGGGACCAGCCGCCGTGTGCAGAGGCCAGTGGCCTGCCCGTCTGTATCTCTGGCCCCCACACCAAAGGATTTTTACTACTTAAGACATGAAACACCACTGGAAGCTGAAACATCCAGATACATTTTTAATAAACATCTTTAAAGTAGCAGAATTAAAACAAACCTTAAGATCCATCATGAAGCTTTGGGTTTAGGACTCAAAGGCAACAGTATAAGCCACTAATCTCTAAGAGGAAATATCTGAGACCAATATACAAGTTTGTGCCCTTTTCTCTTAAAGACAAAGAATCTGCAGCTGTACAAACTGGGAAGGAAGGTTCCTGAGTGTTCCACAGCTGACCCTGGGCTGGGGGGAGGGGGTGCTGAACGTCCCTTCACTGACCCCACTCGGGAAGAAACAGCTCTGTGCCCGCTAGGAACCCCAACTGGCATCCTCCCCTCGCCCTCTGAAGCCACCCTGACAGGAGCTGCTGTCCAGTGGGCCAAGGGACAGCAGTGGGGTGTCCCCTCTCCTGCCCGACCCCGCAGTGAGAGCAGCAGTGGCTGGAACTCATGCCTGGAGAAATCAGCATGGCGTGGTGGCCTTCTCTCTGGAGTGCGGGCATTCGGCCACCCTGGGGCCAGATCCGGGATAGCTGCAGGATGGAAGTACCATGTCCTTCACCCCATTCTCTCGCCAGCTCTATGGACCCTGTCAGGGGGCCTGGAGCAGACCCCTCCTCCTCATGCTGCTGCTGCCACTGGGGGGTTCGCATGGGACCGTGGTTCCTTCGGTTTGGGGGGCAGGTCCTGAGCAGCGCTGGGCACTGTGAGGGGTCAAGAACAGAACCTGGGCCAGGCTTGCCTGCACAGGGTCCGAAGCTATTTCTGGAGCAGGGACTGCAGCCTGGGGAAGAGTCTCAGTGCGTTCTGCGTGGTGGCAGCCACAACGTCCTCCACGCGGAGGCCCTTGACCTGCGCGATGTACTCGGCAGCAGCCCAGGCATTGCAGGGCTCATTCCGCACCTGCAATAACGACACAGTCTGATTCGGGGGGCCAGACCCGCACCAGGATGCACAGCTGACCCTGGGCCGGGGGGAGGGGGGCTGAGGACTCCGGCTGCTCCACCAATGTGAGTCCATGTGGCTCTGGGTTTCTGACAGGACTGAATCACCCCCTGGACCTGTCCCCTGGGTCCGGCCACAGTCAGGGCTCGTCAAGCCTCTGCTCCCTGTGGCCACTTTTCTGGGCACCATGATGAGAAGTGTCTGCCGGCACAAACGGCTGGCAGGTATTTTTTTTTTTAATTGTGGAGAGCACACCCAGGGCTCTGTTCTCAGGGCTGACTCCTGGCTCTGTGCTCAGGATCACTCCCAGTGGGCTCAGGGGCCTCTCCGTGGTGCTGGGGATGGAACCTGGGTCAGCTGTGGGCAAGGCCAGGGCCCTCCCTGCTGTCCTATGGCCGGACTTGAGCAGTCAGGCTACTGCTCCAGTCACAGATAGCCTGAGACCACAGGTGGCCATGTGGCCGCTGCCCCACACCTCTGAGTCTCGGGGTGCTGAGGTCTGTTCCTTGCAGGTAGGAGCCTGAGTCAGCCACACACTGGGAGGGGACATGCCTGTACTTGGCACACCTAAAGCCATACTGAGCAGCCACTGTGGCTGCCATCTGGAAGATAGTGACTTGAAATAGCAGCAACATTGAGATGAGTTTTGTGGCCTATCATAACAAAGGGCTGGAGCGATAGCACAGCGGCAGGGCGTTTGCCTTGCACACACCCAATATGGCCGACCCAAGTTCGATTCCTCCACCCCTCTCGGAGAGTCCGGCAAGCTACTGAGACTATCTCGCCCGCACGGCAGAGCCTGGCAAGCTACCCGTGACGTAACTGATATGCCAAACACAGTAACAAGTCTCATGATAGAGACGTTACTGGGCCCACTCAAGCAAATTGATGAACAACGGGAGAACCGTGACCATGACCATGACCGTCACCATCATAACAAAATACACAGTGGAGATCATTCCTGACTGCATCAATACTTGTCCTGGCAATGTGACATGCTTGCTAAAAGAGAAACAAGAATTTATTTAGCATGTCCTACTCATGGGCTGGAGCAGTAGGGCGTTTGCCTTACAAGCGGCCAACATGGCCGACCTGAGTTCGATTCCTCCGCCCCTCTCGGAGAGCCAGGCAAGCTACCGAGAGTATCTCGCCCGCACGGCAGAGCCTGGCAAGCTACCCGTGATGTATTTGATATGCCAGACACAGTAACAATTGTCACAATGGAGACATTACTGGGCCCGCTCGAGCAAATCGATGAACAACCGGAGGACCGTGACCGTCCTACTCATCACAGTGTGGAACCAACCCAGGGCCAACTCATGTCATCCTGACCAGCATTGAATTTTTCCTTCTTGTTTTCATGAGAGGCCCTGGGCTTAATCTGAGCTCAAAGTCAGCGTCAGGTTCTTCTAGCGGCAGACACTCTTCTTTTCCCTACGCAGGTCTAGTTCTCATTACTAAGCCACTGGGTCATGCTGGCATGAAACATTGTGCCTCAGAAAAAGCTGGACACAGAGTTAATGACCAGGCCACAGCCCGCTTCCCAGATGCTGCCCATGGAATCGCATTCCATCCCACACAGACCAGATTCCAATGACAGGTTCTGGCCCACATATGAGATGTCAGAAAGGCATTACCTGTTTCTCGGGTCCGAGTGCAGGAGAATCTGTTTCTAAGCAAATTGAAGATAAAGGCAACTGTTTGACAAGCTTCTGCTTCTTAGAGAAAAGGAAAAGCTTGTGAGTCTAGCACATGGAATGAAGCTGAGACAGAACATTAACTCTACACACTGATAGATCATCTCTAATGAGCTAGCACACTTTTAATATTCAAGTACTGAGTAGGAACTATGTTCTTACTAGCCCACTGCTCACAGGAGCATGCCTGGCCCATTATCCAAAGCCTCAGGGACCAAGAGCAACAACGAGGTCAAGCATCCGTCACACTCCATAAAGACAGGGACAACTTCAGAATTCACACTTTGAAGGACAAAGCCACTGGGCCTCTCCAGACCGCAGTCCTTTTTTTAGGGCAAGTTTGGTGACTGGGGAGCATGGTCCTTCACTTTGTCCTGAATTTTCAAAATAATCTGATAGTTTCTTGTTCATATGTATTGGAAACAGCTTCATCAAGCCCAAGATGAGGTTTTTCTCTTGGATCATGAAGAGTATTGGGCTATACTGCAAATCAGGACCCCTGTCCTACATTACAGAGGCATGTCAAGACTCCTGAAAAGATGACTACTTCATAGGGACTTATTTGCCATTTTTGTGATATACATTTCAGTCTCACAGGCAACACATTTGAGGAATGGTCTCTTTTTATTTACATTTTGCTTTTGGGGTCACACCAGGTGGTTGCTCAAAACTTACTCCTGGCTCTGCTCTCAGGGATCCCTCCTGGCTCTGCTCAGGGGACCACATAGGGTGCCAGATACCAAACGGAGTCAGCAATTTATAAGGCAAATGCCTTCCCCTTGTACCATTTCTGGTCTCTGCTTGCTTGTTTTTGATTAAAACCATTGCCTAATCCAAGGTCATAGTTAGTTTTTGATTTGGTTTGGTTTTGGGTCATGTCTGGGGAAGTTCCAGAAATACTCCTAGTCTGGTGCTCAAAGGGGCCTTGTGGTATCAGGGATGGACTCAGGTCATTGGCATACAAAGAGTGTGCCCCAGCCCTCTGGCTACCAGAGGGTTTCGTCTAAGTTTCTGTCATTTTGCCTCTCTGATCTAGACCTCTGATCCAGCACTTGGTTCCATGTTCACATGGCAGGAATTCAGGATGAACTCAGGGCACGGGTGGGGGTAGGGGGGGTGGCTCAGGGTGCATCTGGCAGCACTCAGGGATACTCCGAGTCTGCTAGGGGCGGGGGGCGATGGTGTTGAGGACCAAACCTGGAGCTTGGCTTGATGATCCATCTCTCTGGCCCACCATGATGAATTTTAAAATCAGAATCGTACCATACAAATGCAGTAAGAATTCATGTCTCCTAGATAAACAGTGAAAGGAAGGAGCCAGTTACCTGTCCACTTCTGATGATGGAGGGAGGGATGGAGAAGAAGAAGCCAGCCTGGACCCCGTCCATGGCTACCGACGGCCGCCCATCAAATGCGTGCAAAAGCACTTGGTCGGCACCTTGCAAATCAAAGCAAACCAGAGACTCATTCCTGACACAAGTTTCCTCTGATCAACGCAAACCACAGGGAGTCCAACATTTCTCAGGAGAACTGGGGTTACTCTGGTGTAGAGATGAGGTTCCATGGCTCCCCAAGGGTGGATAGATAGAACAGCAGAAATAGCAAAAACAAAACAAAACAAAGCAAACAAACAAAACACAGGGTGAAATTATTAAATAATATTGAAATGCAGATTTTTGCTTGTCTTTGGGCCACACCTGGCTGTGTTCCTGGCCCGGCACTCAGGGGTCACTCCTGGTGGGTTCAGGGGGCCATATGAGACGCCAGGGATCAAAGTTGGGTCAGGCACATGCAAGGCAAAAGCCCTGCCCACTGTACTACCTCTCCAGGACCCCAGGAAATACGATTTTTTAGTTAGACTCCCCATGCACAGAAGTTTGTGAACTGTGACATCATTGTTGACCAGGAGGGTTAGAGGTCACTCACTTGCCCAGGGGAGTGCCAGTGGCAGAAACAGGAGCTAATAACAGTTAATAGCCAGCACAGCCTCACAGAGCCCAGGCAGAGGAAGGGGCAGGCGCTGGGCTTGCACCTCACCAACCCTGGCCTGCTCCCAGCATCAGATACAGTTGCCCGAAGCCCGTCAGGTGCAATCCCCAAGCCCAGCCGGGTGCGGCCCAAAGCCCACCACCACCACCACCACTAATACGATTAAAAAATTTAAAATACACCTCCCCAGTTCTTCTTTGTAGGGAGTGAGGGAGTCCTCAAGCAGTGCTCAGCGGCCTGGGGGCCACTCGGGCCAATACTCGGCCAACCTGGTGTGCTGGGCAGTACTCAGGCCTGAGGCCACGGAGCTACCTGGACCCATCCTGTAGCATGCAATGACCATCCTTCTGCGACAGTCTTGTCCCTCATCACTCAGCTGCTTGAACTAAGGACCTGGAGCCATTAATTGCCATTTATTTATTTTATTGCTGTGCCAGGGACTGAACCCAGGACCTCAGAAACAAAACAGCATGCTGATTAGCGACCAGCACCACCAGCACACAGCGAGCCCAGGCAGGGGGGCTGAGCCACGTTCTAGCTCTGGGCCTCCTCCAAGAGCTCACTCCAGGGGCTGAAGATGGCACAGCAGTCAGGGGTGAGCCTGCAGGCATACAAGCCAAGCTTGCTGCCCGGCACCACAAGGCCCCCAAGCATTGCTGGGTGCCGCACTCCTGGGGTGGCCCAGGTACCCCCACCACTGCATGGCCCAGGCAGCCCCTCGGGCTAGTGCGCTGAACTGAATTACGCCTGAGCTGCCCAGGCCCCCCAAATAAATCAATGTCAAACAAAGCTAACTCTACAGGACCAGCTGAAGGGGCGCTTCTGGGGACGCAGCACCTACCTTGTTCCTTTAGGAGGCTGATGGCGGGTCGTCCGGCCGAGCGGGAATGCACATTCCTGTTCAACAAGCACAGACTTACACCTGAGCCCAGCTATTTGATCTGTTCTAGTAATGGGATTCAGAGGAAAAGAAATGCGGAGTCTTACTCCAGAAAGATCAGCGTTCAGTTCTGCTCCCTAATTATTCAGACAGAATGATGATCGACTCACAAGGGCAAACCGAGTCTCTTGGCCAGTTGGATCTGTCTGATGAACACTTGTCTCTGCTCTTCCTTCTGCTCCTCAGTGCTGGCCAACCTGGGGGAAAAATCGAGTCCAACCTGGCACAGGAAAATAAAACAGAGAGATTATGGCCCACCCCTTGGCCAAACAGTCTGCCCAGGCCACCTGCAGCATGGGGAGGGCAGGAGCTGAGCGAGCAGGTAGCTGTGTCACTTTGCACGCCAACAAGGGACTAGGTTTGATCCCCAGCACCACAAATTCTCCTGAGCATCAATGGGTGGGGTCCCAAAATCAAAAGAGGGGGAAGAGAAACAGCACTAACAAGAGGCAGGTGAGTAGTAAGATGTACGCCTGGAATTTCTCATCACAATACCGTTACCCTAACTCATGATCACATCCAAATTACTGAGGCATCTTGCTCTGAGGGGACACTCAGACTATAAGGTCCACTTAGTGTGGCTGGCAGAGCCACATTCCTGGAGCCCGGAGTACTGAGACAATGGGAGGATGGGCAGGCGCAGGTGTCCCCCCGGACGGTCCAGCACATGCTGCTCTCACCGGGATCCACAACTTGGCAAATATTCTAATCTTCCATGTTCAGTCAGACCTGTACGCTCTATGCTGAGGGATGGGAAGGTTTCACAGGGGTAAACAATTTTTTAAGTTCTTGGTGGGGTTGGCGCCATAGCACAGCGGTAGGGCGTTTGCCTTGCACATGGCTGACCTGGGTTCGATCCCCGGCATCCCATATTGGTTCCCCAAGCACCACCAGGAGTAATTTCTAAGTGCAGAGCCAGGAGTAACCCCTGTGCAACACTGGGTGTGACCAAAAAAGTAAAAAAAAAAAAATCACTTTTTACTACAAAAAAAATTTACATCAAGGTTTAAAATTATTTGACTTAGTGTTTCCAGAAATAAAACCTTTATTCAAAACTAATTCTAAGTTGGGGCCAGAGCTATCTTGTAGCAGGTAAAGTACTTGCCTTGCACACAGACAACTCGGGTTCAATCGCCAGCATCCCCTAAGGTCCTCCAAGCACTATCAGGAGTAATTCCTGAGTGGAGAGCCAGGAATAACCACTGAGCATCACCGGATGCGGCCAAAAAAAAAAAATCAAAGTTGATTTTAATTTTTCATTCAGAAATATCATTTATAATCCACTAAGATATAACTATGGGGGGTCAGAGTGATAGTACAGCGGGGAGGGCATTTGTCTTGCACACAGCTGACCCAGGTTCAATCCCCAGCATCCCGTATGGTCCCCCAAGCACTGCCAGGAGTAATTCCTGATTGCAGAGCCAGGAGTAACCCCTGAGCATTGTTGTATGTGACCCAAAAAGAACAAAAAAAAGTTCTTGGAGCTGGAGAGATAGTAGAGCAGGGAGGGCCCTTGCTTTCACTGAAAGTGGCTGAAAACCCCTGGCATCCTACACGGTCCCCTGAGCACTTCCACGAGTGATCCCTAAGCACAGAACCAGGAATAACCCCTCAGTATCACCAGGTATGGCCCAAAAATCCAAAACAAATAAAAAAATCAGTTAATTATAAACTCCAACCTGTTTCAAATAGGTACGAATATACTATCTTTCTATTTTTTTTGCGGGGGGGGGGCATCGGCACCTCAGTCAGTGCTCAGGACTTACTCCTGGCTCTGTGCTCAGGGAACATTCCTGGAGGGGGTCAAGGCACCCTCTGGGGTCCTGGGATCAAACCCAGGTCTGCTGCATGCAATGCAAGAGCCCAACCTTCTGTACTATCACTCAGGCCCTACACATACCATCTTAACTAACCAGAGAGCTGACCTATGTTTAGGAAACAAACCAACCAACCAAGTTGATAGAAATAACCCATTTTCTCCAATGAGCACTGTTTGATCAGGTCTCTACTGCTTCGTCTCCAAATGCTTCTTCTTACTGCAGAACACGAACAAATTATCATTCAGCTGAAGGAGTGAACTTAACTATCCAAATCCATCAGAATCACCAATGCTGAACAAAAGACTTTCCACATATCATGTGAAGTTTGGATTAAGAATCTTCTGGTTTGGTTTGTTTTGGGGTCACACCTGGTGGGTGCTCAGCTACGTTCTCAGGCCACTCCTGGTGGCGTTCAAGGTGCTGGGGCTCAAACCCTGGTCAGCCACATGCAAGGCCAGCGCCCTTTGTCCCATGCTACCTGTCCTCTTTCCTGTTTTGACCCGCTCAGAGGTCGCCTAGTGGCGCTGGGGGATCGCGTGGTTCTGGGCTGGACTGGAGCCCCTCTGCGGAGGGTCTGCTCGGCTCCGACCCAGTTCCCTGCACCTCTCACTGGGGAGCATAAACAGCCTGGTCTTACTTTTATTTGGGACCTCCTCATCATGGAGCTCATCCTCCTCATCAACCTCCTCGTGGAGCTGGGGGCCACCAGGGCTCCGCCAGGCGGTGCACAGGGGGCCCCACGGTGCCCGGGATCAAACTAGCCCTGTGCTTGCCAGGCATGTGCTCCGGCCAAGTGGTGCCCTGGCTGTGGAGAGAGAGCAGTCTGATTGGGTCATGGGTATTTACCTCTCCGATTGCCAACAATCGATCCTTATATTTTTCGATAATGGGCAATGCTACATCCAAATCCTATGAGAAAAAAAACAAAAAGTCCAGCTGATAAAACAGAAGAGAACTGAGACCACCCAGACAGTGTCGTGGCCCAGTGCTGTGACATCCAGGGTTTTGCAGAGCTGACCCTGCCAGAAGCAGGGTCAGAAGCAGGAAACACGGAAGCAGGAAGAGTCTTCAGGGAAAGTCAGTAGAAACATCCCACATCAATGCAATGACCGCAGTGCTAAGACTGACTTCTTGGGATACTCCTGATGGCCTAAGCCCTAAGCACTTCTTTCTCTCAAGGGGCATTTCCTGTTCTGGGGACATTTCCGGGTGTGGGTTTCTCAGAATAGCAGAAGAAAGGGACAGATTGCGCCTTACACTGCAAAAGGTCCGAGTGCCTAACACCTAACAGTGACAAGCCCCTGCTTCAACACCCTACACACTGCTCACAAAACCCTTCTCTGTCCAGAGTTCTTCTTGGCCTTTCACAGGGGCTTGAACCCAGGGCCTTCCATGTGAAGTCACACCGGCTGCACTTCTGCCCTAGAGGCCATCACTACAGACACTCCAAGCACGCCTGCCGTTGGGAGCGCTATGTGGACGGGGTGGGTCTGAACTGAAAGGCTCGGTCCCAGACGGTGGCCATACCCTGACCGTTACCTTCAGAGTGACACTTCTCTGGCCTGCTGGGGATAGGCCCTGGATGGGGTGGACACCGAGGCACGGCAGGACAAACCCGTCATACCTAGAAGAGGAGCAGGAAGTGAGACGGGAGGGCCAGGGCCATAGATACATACAGGGAGGGGCTGAGGCCCTTGGCCCACGCTTGGTCTCTGAGCACGGGAGTGTGGTCCCAAAGTGAGCAGATCACTCTGTGAGCAGGCGCTGCTACTCAATGAAAAAAGCGGGAGTCTTTTTCTTTTGTCTTGAATCATGGAGGCCACAGCTTGTAGTACCGGGAGCCACAGTACCAGCACCCCACATGCTCAGCACAAGCTCTATCTACCACTGGACTCCAGGAAGAAGCGGTTCTCAGGGCTGTGCCACGTCATGTTCTTGCCACTTCCTAGCTGGAGACCAACCCGCCCGTCTGTGAGCCCAGAAATCTGCATCAAACGTCACGGCTACACCCGGGCAGCCCCTTCAAGCCTGGGGAGAAGCAGCACCGTTCCGAAAGCCGCATGATCTTCTCAAACTCTCCAGCGTGTTCAGCAACCACCACGAGGGCCTTCACATTGGCCTGAAATCACAAGAAGAGTTGGCCTCTCAGCCGCGCATCTGTGGATGAAACAAGCCCCTGTGTTCACGCTTACAGTGTGGCCACTGGGATCAGCTGCATGCAAGGCAGGCACTGAGCCCCTGCACCATCTTCCAAAGTTAAGACAGTTCCTGAGGGGCCGGAGTAATAGGACATCAGTTGAGCACTTGCCTTGCACATGGCTGATCCAGGTTCAATGTCTAGCATCCTGTACGATTCTTCAACCACCACCAGGAGTGGCGAGTTGAGTACAGAGCTAGGAGTAACCCTAATCATCACCACTGTGGTCCCCCCCCCAAAAAAAAAAACACTCCCAAAACCTCATGGTCACAGTTCTCCCTTTGTTCATCGGTTTGCTTGAGCGGGCCCAGTAACGTCTCCTTCGTGAGACTTGTTGTTACTGTGTTTGGCATATTGAATATGTCACAGGTAGCTTGCAAGGCTCTGACGTGCGGGCAAGATACTCTCGGTAGCTTGCCGGGCTCTCCGAGAGGGACAGAGGAATCGAACCCAGGTCAGCCATGTTGGCTGCGTGCAAGGCAAATGCCCTACCCGCTGTGCTATCGCTCCAGCCCCCCCAAAACCTCAAGAACCAAAATTCAACCCAAAAGAGGAGGTCAGGTCCAGAGCCTTGGTGGGGCCAGTGTGGGGCAGAGGCTGCAGATTAACTTATCACAGAAGCGACAGACCAGCTGGCAACACTTCTGGGTGTTTCTGCTGGCAAGCATCCAACAGAGTGGTTTAAGGAGCGACTTACCTGCTTGGCTTTCTGCAGAACGTCGTCCAGGTCCTGCAGAGAGCACAGGGGTCTCAGCAAGCGGGGACAGTCAGCACCTCACAGCACCACTCACGCAGCGGCCCCTCGCCAGGCAGTGCAGGCAGTGGGGGCACAGCCTGCTCACCACCTCTGGCACCGGCCCCCAGGAAGCCCACTGGGACGAACACTCACCCCCGGCCCCTCTTCTCTCCCCACCCACCCCCTGCAGGGGACTCCTCTCCCGCCACAATCCCTCCCAGCTCCGGACCATATCTCCCCCTCCCCTCCAACTCCAGAGCCCTGCTGCACGCCCTACCCGCACGGCAGGCCTGGCTACCACCCCTGTGTCGGGTCCTGGGGCTTCTCTCCAGCCTGGGACCCTCCGCTCAGGACCCCCGAGGGAGAAGGGTGGCGCGGGGCCAGGCGCTGCCCAAGAGGCGAGAGGGTGCCTGGCTGCGCGCGGGGCACCCGCTGGGTGCGGCCCTCCCCGAAACCCGGCAGGACACCCACGCGAGAGACCGCACGGGGCAGGGCCGCAGGTCAGGGCCAGGGGCCAGGGAGGGCAGGCGGAGGGGCGAGAGGGGCGAGAGGGGCGCTGGGCGCAGGCGCGGCGCGGGGGCAGGCGCGCGCCCGACAGGGACCGGCCCGCGCTCCTGAACGCCGAAACTCCAGCCCGCGCGCTCGGGTCCACTCCCGGGGGCACAGGACCCTGACCCTGACCCTGGTGACCGAGCGCCCCTCACTGGGCAAATGGGGCCACAGCGGGCACGCTCAGGTCCGGGCTCCGGACACAGGCAGTCCCTCGTGGCGGTGTCCGGGGACCGGACGGGAGGCCCGGGCTCGAACCCGGGCCCAATGCGATCGATTCACTCTCTGATAGGAAGAACCAAGTGAGGACGACGACACCCGCCCCTGCGCGGCTGCTGGTCTCCAGCTCGCGGCCTGCGCCCGAGCCCCCGCCCGCCCGTCGGCCCCTCGCCGGCCTCTCCGCCTGCGCGACGTACGCGGCCAAACTCCGGGGCGCAGAGGTGGCAGTGACAGTCCACCAGCGCGGCGCCCGGCTCGCCCATGGCGGCCCAGCCCGGCGGAACGCGGAGGCGGCGGAACCCGGAGGCGGCGGAACGCGGAGGCGGCGGAACCCGGAGGCCGCGCGCGCGGCTTCCGCCCGGCGCGGGCCGCTTCCGCCGCGGGCCCCGCCCCTTCCGCCGCGGGCCCGCCCCTCCCGACCGAGCGCGGGAGGATGGCTTCGCGGGCGGAGGCGGCGGGCCCGGGGACCCCGCGCGAGGACCCCCGGGTGCGCTGCACGTCCCGGCGGGCCGTGGCCCGCGCGCTCGAGCTGTGCGGCCGCTTCGTGCGGGAGCTGGGCGAGGCGCTGCCCGCCGGCGTCCGGGAGCCCGCGCTGCGGGACGCGCAGTGGGTAGGCCGGGGCCGCGCTCACTCCCGCCCTCGGCGCGGCGGGGTCGGGGGTCGCGACGGGCCTGACGCCGGGGGCCCGCGCGCGGCTGCCGGGCTTGCCGGCCGACGGCGTCTCCGCGCGGGACTCGGCCCCGTGTGCGTGCCTGCGCGCGTGTCTGCGTGGGTCTGTGCGTGTCTGTGCGCGTCTGTGTGCGTCTGTGTGTGTCTGTGTCCGTGCATGTCTGTGTGTCTGCGTGGGTCTATGCATGCATCTGTGCACGTCTGTGCGCGCGTCTGTGCCCATGTATGTGCCTGTGTCTTGCAGACGTTTGAGGCCGCAGTGCAGGAGAACGTCAGCGTCGGCGGGCAGGCCTGGCAGGAGGCGGGCGAGGCGACCGACGGCTCTCCGGGTATGTGAGCATGGGGTCGTCCGCCAGGGACTCTCTGCTCCTGTCCAGCTGCCTTGTGTCTGGGGAGGGAGTGGCGGGCACTAGAGCGAGGCTGCCCCTGAGTGCAGGGTCTGGGGTCATGTTTGGGCCCCCGGTGTCGCAGGGGTCTCTCTGAGTCGCTCCGGAGTCAGTTAGTCAGTTCCTTCAGGAAGTGCTGCCTGGGGGGTGCACAGGCCCCCAGCCTGCAGGACAGGCGCCACAGGGCGCAGGAGCCCGGCCCGTCCTCCCAGGAACTTGTGGCTGACAGCGGGTGCTTCCAAGCTGGGCCAGGGGTCCCTCTGATTGTGGGGTTTGACAGGACCCCTCCAGCAGGAAGTGAGCACCTGGAGGAGGAGGGATTAAACAGCAAGGGGTGAGGTCCAGAGTTAAGACGGGGCCTCAGTAGAGCCCACGCGTGGAGCGGCCTGGGAAAAAACACTAACAAAGGAACGGCCGCATGCGCTGCTGGAGCCCAGGTGCTGCCCGTCTCTCCCCTCCCGAGATGGGCACTGGTCCTCTCTGCCTCTGTTCTTTTTTTTTTTTGCTTTTTGGGCCACACCCGGCGATGCACTCAGGAATCACTCCTGGCAGTGCTTGGGGGGACCATATGGGATGCTGGGAATCGAACCCGGGTCAGCCGCGTGCAAGGCAAATGCCCTACCAGCTGTGCTATCGCTTCAGCTCCTGCCTCTGTTCTCTCTTAAGTGTGTTACTCTCTCCCCTTTTTCTCACCCTTCTTTTCTTTCTCTTCTAAAAATCTCCAGATAAAATTGTTTTTACTACAAAGAAAAAGGGTGGCGTTAAAAAGACAAACTTGAACCAAGTGATTTGGGCGGGGATGTGGCGAGGTCCTGGCCCCGTGGTGGCCACTTGAGTACCCCCGGCACTGAAGAAGCACAGGGCAGGCGTGGCTGGGGAGAGGCAGTTGAGTGCAGACAGCCCCCGGTCAGGGGTGCGGCCAGTGGGATCTCGGGGTGCGCATGGGAGGCTGCACTGGGGCGAGGCAGCTGCCAGCGGTCTCTGGATCTGGGGTCATGGGGAGAGTCTTGGCCAACCTAGCAGGGCTGGAGGATGGCTCAGGAGGTGACAGAGTGGCCCGGGCTGGCCTGCCCTGTGGGAAAAGGCAGAGTAGAGTGTGGCGTGTTGCCCAAGAGAGGTGGCAGGGGCTCTGGGTCCACTCTAAGGCACAGGAGTGGTCTCCGGCAACAGAGGTTTGTTCTGTTCTTGGGCATCCCCACGCGTAACTGATGAACCCAGCTCCCATTCCAGGACGGCCTGTTTCTAAGGGAGTTGGAGCCTGTTTGCTTATTTGGGGTCTGGGACCACACCTGGCAGATCTCGGGCTTACTGTTACTCGGGCTCTGTGTTCACAGGAGTCACACAGCTCTGTCCACGCCGCCTCGCACTCACAGTCACACAGCCCTGTCCAGGCCTCCTCACATAGGAGTCACACAGCTCTGTCCACGCCTCCTCACACTCAGTCACACAGAAGTCACACAACTCTGTCCACCCCTTGCACTCAGCAAGTTTTCTGCAGCACTGCCTCTGACTTTCCCAGTGAGCCTGAACCTGAGAGAGCTGGTGAAATGTTCCATCCCTCTCCTCTGATGCAGGTGTGACTTCTTAGATCTTTGTCACTGATTGTCCTGAGTCACCTGTGACCTCCCTTTGTTTGCTGTATTTCTTTTCCTTTTTTTTTTTTTACTTTGCTTGTTTTGAACCACACCCAGAGGTGCTCAGGACTGACCTGGCTCTGCACTCAGGAATCACTCCTGGTGGGACTCAGGATCAAGTGGGTTGCCAGTATCCCAAGTTGGCCGTGTGCAAAAGTGCCCTCCCCACTGTATTGTCACTCTGGCCCTACATTTGCATGTAGGATGTATACTGTGCCTTAAGGTGTTATTTTTTTTCCCTTAAAATAGATTCTGATATCAAAGTACTTGAAGATCAGTTTGATGAAATCATAGTCGATATAGCCACAAAACGCAAGCAGTACCCCAGAAAGATCCTTGAGTGTGTCATCAAAATCATCAAGGCAAAGCAGGAACTTCTGGTAAGATTGATCACCTCGAAGAGGGTAAAAATTTATGTCATGTCTATTTTAGTATGATGGAGAAAGTAAAGTAGGGGTTGGCGCATATCTTGCATGCAGCTGACCAGATTGACCCCTGCCACCACACAGCTCATCATCGCCAGGTGCAGCCCTGGTGACACCCAGTGTGGCCTTGCTCACCTGAATGGCACCGTAGGATGGCGGAATATGGCCCACCATTGTCCATGGGAGTTGTGAGACCCAAATGCCTGTTAGAAATGGGCTTTTGAGTCGCTCTGTTCATGATCTGAAGACTAGCTTGTACTTTAAGCCCCAAGTGCCTTTCGTTTCCTCGATGGCCTTCTAGTCTCTGCTTTCTCGGGTGTTGTTTCTTACCAGATCAGCAGGTGGCGTGGTGCTCAAAGGCATCCACCAGGCCCAGGCTCTCAGATCCCAGTCTTCCCCCTCCCTTCCTGCAGGTTTCAGGAACCAGTTCGTTTTTGTTTTCTGCAGTAACTGTGTTCCGATGAGAGGCTTTGCAGCCCCATCCACTTCTGTGCTGCTTGTGTGTGCCTCTCAGAGGCTCATCACGCCCCTCTTTTTCATGTTTAGAAGCTGTACTGCCCTGTCGTCCGTCCACTGGATCTGACGTCGGAGCCCGACCTGGGTGAGTCTGCGTTCCGGGAGCGGACTGGCCTTGCTGGAGATGTGCTCACGGCCAGCAGACTCGGGCTGGGCAGTCCTAGAGCTCGTCCACCACGGCCTTTCGGCACTTTCTGATGGCCTCACAGGCCTGTTTCTGTCCAGCTTTGTCACTCTGGAACTTTCCTGCTCTCCAGAGCAGCTGGCAGGCCGTGCTCCCGCCTCCACTGTCCTCCCACTGTCTCTCTGCCTCTTGGGTTGCTTCCTGCCAAGGCAGTGGGCATGCGGTGGCGTCCACAGGCAGAGGCCAGCACCTTACTTGGGTAGCAGTTGCCGTGTTTATGGACCCCCCCTACTCCTTGCCAGGCATTAGGGTGTTTCCATCTTAACCGCAGTTTGGCTGCTGCTGCTGTGTAGAGATTTTTGGGCTACACCGGGTGGGGCGGGAGCGTTGTGCCTGGCAGTGCGTGGGGCAAACGAAAGCAAGACCAGGCGCCGCCCCCTCCAAAGTTTGATGATCTTGTTTAGGTGTCGAATGCACTGGAACATTTTCAGGAGTGAGATTCTTTCCTCCGTTCCATAGTCAGACGTCCTGTGCGATCTGGCGGACACTCTGTCCTCTTCTCTTCCTTAGACCAAGCCTCGTGGACTTTCATCTCTTTCCGGGCACTGTCTCAAGTTTTATTGGTTGACTAGGTTGTCAGCGTTGTTGTCAAACCTTTAAGGCACTTTCGTGGTTTTTCTGCTTATTTATTTAGGTACGTCCAGCATGGGCTGGAACAATGGCACAGTGGGTAGGGCGTTTGTCTTGCACGTGGCCGACCTGGGTTCGATTCCTCCGTCCTTCTTGGAGAACCCGGCAAGCTACCAAAAGTATCTCGCCCGCACGGCAGAGCCTGGCAAGCTCCCTGTGGCATATTCGATATGCCAAACACAGTAACGACAGGTCTCACAATGGAGACGGTACTGGGCCCGCTCGAGCAAATTGATGAACGGGAGGACAGTGCTACAGTACAGTGCTACATCCAGCATGCCGTGGGCTCACTCCCAGTGTGGCTCTGGGCATATGTGGTGCTGGGATTTGAATCTGTCAGCGGCATGCAAGCCTAAGGCTTGTGTTTCCTCCGCACACGGCTTATGTCACGGCTTCCTTCCTTTCCACACTGCCCAGTTTCCCTTTGCTGTCGGAGGGCTGGGCACTCGGCACTGTTTGGTTCCACTGCAGCGAGTGCCAGCCTCTTGCCGGCCGGGTGGACAGCTGGCGGGTCTCTTCTCCCCGTGCACTCTGGGGAGCCTGGTCTCTTGAGCGCGTCTGTCTCTCGCCTCTCTTGTGTCTCTGGCTCTCATGCTTTTTCCTGTTGCTGCATTTCCTTGCTTCCTCTTCCTTTCCAGCTGTTTTGTGGTCTCAGCCTGCTGGCCTGGGGGCACGTGGGGACAGTGTCCACTGTGAGACTGGTGGGGGCGGCCTGTGCCCCAGTCAACGGGCAGCATGGCCAGACCCCACCGGTGGCCTTGTTTCATCTCTTCATGTGGCTTCCCACTGGGGTAGTCTGCCCCCGGCCCCTGGTTTCTGGCCAAACCTCCTCAGGGAGGGGGACACAGTGGGGTTGCAGCTGCCCACAGATGCCCACACCTGCCCGCTGCGCACGCTTCCTCCTGCCCTTCCTTCCTCCCTGCCCACCCCGCCCTCCTGCCCACCCTCTTCTCTCCTGTTCACTCTTCCTTCCCTCCTGTCTGCCCGCCCTTCCCTGCTGTCCATTCTCCTTCCCTTCTACCCGCCCTTCCGTCCTTTCTGCCCACCCTCTTCCCTCTTCTCTGCCCTTTGCCCATCTGCCTTCCCTCCCTTGCTGGGTCTGCAGCTTTAGCTTGACCTCCAGCCTCTCCTGTCTTTCCTAGTTTGTGGAAGCGCTTGGTCTGCAGAGGCTCTAGAACGTGTCTTTGAGTACTTCGCTCTCTTTGCAGGATGCTCTGGTGAGCCAGAGTTTATAGGTGTCCAAGCCCTTCTGGACCACAAGTCTGGGCTGCTGTGACCATCAGGCATTAGCTGGTACTCTTGGCCGACTCCCCATGTAGTGCTATGTGGACAGGGACCTGAGTGTTGTCCCCCGCCCTGCGTGACCTCCAGACACTGTGGGAATGGCCTTGTGTCAACCCCAGACACTGACAGATGTATCCCTGTGTGACCTCCACGCAGAGACTCCTGTGGCCTCTGGAGTGGGTTGTGCAGGCTTTTCCAGTCACCGTGGGGTTTGCTCCTGCTCCCGTGACTGCACTGCGCCATCGTGCCCCTCAGGAGAGCTCCAGAGGTCAGTGGGCTTGGCAGCTGGGCCCCATGTGCACAGGGTGCTGGGCCAAGTTGGAAAACACGACTGAGATAGGGTGGAGGTGCACAGCTGAGTTGGGATGCAGGGCCAAGTCGGGGTACGGGGCCAAGTCGGGGCCTTGGAAGCTGGTGGCCGGTCAGTGACCTGAGGTGGGGTGCTGGTTACTCAATCTTTCGTTTCCACTTTTCATTTCCCTTTGCTGGAGAAAGCAAGTGACCAGGGAAGGCTGTGCCTCAGGGGGCCTCACTTCCACATTTTGGGGCACAAACCGTTTTTATAAATATCCTTGCAACAACCTTTGGCTTTACTGTCGGCTGTCTCCCGTACCGTGGGTTCCATCAGACCTCCTGACTAGTCAGAAAGCCTCTTGTGCTTCCCGGGTCTCTGCCTCTGAGGGGCTCTTGGAGCTGGAGTAGCACCATTCACAGATGTATGGTGCTGATGCGGCTGTCCAGCGCTTCCGGGCGGGCTCAGCCAGGTCCTCCTCTTTCCCACCACGCCGGGTATGGCCCCCTTCCATCTGTGCTCCCCGGGTCTTAGCTGCAGCCCCCTGAGAGCTCACAGGACTGGAGCCCAGGCCTTGCATGTCAGTCCCCTGCTTATCACGCTATGTCTGTCCTGTCCTCTGCGTTGAGTTGGCAGCTCCACAGGATCACTGGTAGGCCTGGTACGATTCAGAAGCCTCAAGGAGTAAGGAAAGAAAATTTGTCAGGGTTTGTCCCGGCATCGCGCCCAGCTTCTGCAAAGCAGTTGATCACATGGTCTAAGTTAAATATCTTTCACCTTTTTCAGGTTTTTTTTGGGGGGGGTCGGGGGGGGGATTGGGGGGGGTGGGCCACACCCATCGATGCTCAGCTGCACTCAGGAATTATTCCTGATGGTTCTCGGGGGACCCTGTGGGATGCTGGAGATTAAACCCGGATCAGCCACGTGCAAGACAAGTGCCCTCCCTAGTGTGCTATAACTCAGGCCCCAGATGTCTTTACTTTTGCTTTGTTGGTGCAGGGATCAAGTCCCTGCCTCCTATGAGCAAGGCCAGTACTCCGGAGAGCACAGCTGCCCCAGACTGGCCCCACTTCCAGTGGGTTTGGAGCCACTTGGATACACGCAGGGGGTGGGGCCTGAAGTGGCACGAGGGGTGTTGGTGGCACACAGGCAGACCCAGGCTCTTGTGGACACACAGTTCATGCCTCTCGGGAGAGCTATGTTCCTGTCCCTGTGGTGGCATCTGGCCTGGTGGTCCCAGCCTCTCCCTGCTCCCGATCATGCTGAGGCCGAGCTAAAGCCATGTGTCCTAGATTTTGTGTAACAGCAGCCATGTGTCTGCGGCTGCTTGGTATCAGATAACTGAGCCTCTGAGGGTTTCTCTGCAGCCTCTCGTGTGGCCGATCTGGAACAGCGAGGAGAAGAGATTGCAAAGGCGATTGGTGAGGCCATGAAGGTGAGGCTTCAGGCGGGCCTGTGTGCAGCGGTGAGTTCCAAGGCCTTGAGGGAGCCCTCGCGGCCTCCCAAGGAAGAGTGTCAGGCAGCGTAGCCCCCTGGCCCAGTCCCCGGGACCCTCTGTGCTGGGCCTTGGTCAGTGCTGAACTCTGAAAGACAGTAGTCTATCCCATGGAGGCCATGGTCCACGCTAGTGTTTGCTAAGCAGCTGGTGTGAGGTCAGGATGCAATTCTGACCCAGCCATAAAGTGATCACTACCTTAAATTCGGCCATTCAGACCTCGGGCCCTCAGCTGAGAGTCAGCCCTCCTCTGCAGCGCCTTGCCTGCTGCAGGGCCGGCAGAGACTGGCATCAGGTAGAATTTCTCCGGAGAAGCTGATGTCCACAGTGAAGATGAGTCTGTAGGCCCACAGTTCAGTGTCTGGGAAACCCCTGGCCAGCGCCCCGTGCATCTTGAGCCAGCCTGCCACCTGCTGAGTGTTCCTCTCATTTGTCTTTGTGTTTTCAAGTCCTTACCTGCGTTAATCGAACAAGGAGAAGGATTTTCCCAAGTCTTGACGATGCAGCCAGTGATCCATCTCCAGAAGGTTCATCAGGAAGTCTTCTCAGGCTGTTCTCCAAGCTTTGCCACACAGCTCGAAGCCACACCGCCAGAGGCATTCGCCCGCAAACCCTCCAACCTGGCACTGCCACGCAAGCGGCCCGCAGGCTCACCCCAGAGAAAGTGCTATCCGCGGCGCAGGCAGATCCCCCTGGATACCTGAGCGCTGGGAGCACGGCAGCCGGCTCAGGCCTATGAGAAGCAGCATCTTTGGGGGGGGGGGGGGGTTGCAATGCCTGGATTGAGCTGAGGGCTTCACCCCTGCAAGCACATGCTTAACCACTGTGCCACATCCCTGACCCCAGCAAATTTTTTCTTTTTTTTGATGGGGTGCAGGCGTGGTGTGGGGCTAGGGCTCCCGTTGGGGTTGAAATAAAACCAGCAAAGTTGGGGCTGGAGCCGTAGCATAGTCAGGAGGGTGCTGTCCTTGCACGGAGCCAACCTACTCTGAACCCCAGCATCCCATGTGGCCCCCCAAACACTGCTAGGAGTGATTCCTGAGCACGGCCTGGAGAAATTCCTGAGCAGTGCTGGGTGCAGCCCGAAGTCCAGCCTGTAAGTCCTCCCCCAGCCCAGCAGAGGTTCCTGCCTGGTGTCTTGACATTTCAGCAGCTCTGTGCTGTGGGCCGCTGGGACTGATTTCATTCCTCTTTTCCGCCTACATGAAGCCCCTGTGCCCTGTGCCCGCACCCCCCAGTGGGTGCCCGGTGCAGGTCTGCTGTCCTTGGCCATTGGGGATCAGGTCGATACGTGCAGAGGGGTGGGCCTGGCGGCATCTCTGGGGGTGCGGCCATCTGTGGGGGTCTCACTGCCACTGCTGCAGGCACAGCTGTGCCGAATGAGCAGCTGCCGCATTGCTACCCCTGGCCCATTTCTGAGTGGGCTATGTCGGCTCTGTGGACCCTCGTTTTAGAGTATTTTGTAAGACAAAGCAGACTTCCTATGACTTAGACTTTAGTGTGTGCAAATTACTTACGTTTCTTGCTCATGTTTGCCAAGGTTCTAGTTTTCAAGACTTTTCCCAACTTTCCAATATAACTTGAAGATGAAGCAGCGGTCACTGACAAGCAGCTTCCCCCGACCCTTTGCCGCGGCTGGCATTCTCTGAGGAAATCATCAGGGATCCAGATGTTCGTTTCTTGCTCATCGATCTCAGATGGCAAATTCTAAGTGTGGCAGGAGGCCCTTCTCAGAGCCGAGAGCTTGCAAAGCCATGGTGGTGTCAATTCCAACTCCATTTGTATCCAGCAGTGAGTTTTTATTAAAATAATGAGAAATGTCTAAAGTCTGGAGTCGATGAGTGTGTTCTCAGGCTTCTAGGGACCATTATTCGGCAGCCTACATCTCAGCAGAAGAATTTTCACTCGGACTGTTCTAAGGCTACAGAATATTGCCATTTTAACATAGTGCTGACTTTCTCGCATTACTGCAAACTTTCTCTATGAGTGTTTTCAAGTAAAAGAATTGCTGATGGTTCTGTTTGATTAAGTATTTGCATTGTGATGATATAAGAACATCACTTCTTGTTGATTTGGGTCTCACACCTGCCTCTTTGCTTAGGAATCACTCATAGGAGTGCTCAGGGGACCATAAGGTGTGCCAGGGATCCAAGCTGATGGGCCAGAAGCAAAGCAAACACCCTACCTGCTATACTCTGCTATATATACTCTGCTATACTCTGGACCCCAAAACATCACTTTTTTAGTGAGGTGTACGTCGAGACAGTTCCCTGACATGTTTGGACTTGCTATAAATATTTTGGGAAAGAGGAGAAAGAGAGGGGCTGGAGCTGTAAAGCCGGCAGGGCGTTTGCCTTGTATGGGGCCAACCCAGGTTTGATCCCCAGCATCCCATATGGTCCCCCGAGTACTGCCACGTGTAGCCCAAAAAGAAAAAAAGGGAAAAGATACTTGCCTTGAAAGCTTGGTGCCCTGGGTTCAGCCCCTGGCACCACCTAAAGGGAAATGCAACAGACTACACAGATTGACAGAAATCTTGATTCTGTTGAGTCTGATGGAAATATCTTGTGTCTTTAGAAGTTTTGGTTTTGGACCACACCCAGGAGTACTCAGGCATTGCTCTTGGCTTGGTGCTCAGGGATTGTATCTGGTAGGTACTGGGGGTTGAGCCCCAGAGTGGTGTTTGGTGGTGGTGGTGGTGGTGGTGGTGGTAGTGGTAGGGTGTCCAATGGTCAGGACCAGGGCTGGTCACTTGGCTCTGGCTCTGCAGCCCTTGTGGTGTGGGATTGCTTAGGGTCAGCCACACTTGGGGGCCACAGGGCTGTCCCAACAGTGTTTAGGGAGCAGCAGGGACATGGCCAGGGCTGGGGAGCAGGAAGGGACCTTCGAGGCCAGGCATGTGCTCCAGCCAGCTGGGCATCTCCTGCAGCCTGTGTTCTGGGCCCACGCACACCATCCAGCGTGAGGTGTGCCGGAAGCCCATCTTGGACATACATAGTCTCAGATGAGTGTCCTGTGGGTGTGATGGAGGCCAGAGAGCACCAGTGCAACAGATAAGCAGACGAGAGGCCTCTGGGTTCGAGAAAGGCCCCGAAATAGCCACATCTCAAGCCTCTGCACACCCACCCGCTGCTGGAGTAATGGTGCAGTGGGGAGGGTGTTTGCCCTTCACACAGCTGATGAATGTGGTGACTTCACCAGCTCAAACCAGCAGGCACCAGCCCAAGTCTCTTTTCTTACAGAGAAATAGACTCCAGGGAAGGGACTCCATGGCTTGCAATCTGCGGAACATTTAGAAAAACAAGGACCCTGATCTGCCCAAAGGGCAGATCTGAAGCCAAAAACATGAGCTCTGTGACAATACCAGTGGTTGGGCGCCATCAAAATTCCATTTCGGTTCTGTACGCATCCAACGGGTGAAAGGACAAGCTATTGCCTGGGAAGGAACATTTCAAACCCCGAATCAAAGGGCTAATAATCTCTAGACCAGCTGAAGTGCACCCCAGACTTCAGTCAGGCAGCAGGCACCTGAGTTACCAAATGGACGGAGGCTGGTGGGGTTTCCTTGCACATGGCCAACCCGGGTTCAGCCCCCGGCACCCTAAAGGGTTCCCTGAGCCCTACCTGGAGTGACCAAGTGCAGAGCCAGGAGTAAACCCTGAGCACTGCCAGTTGTGATCCCCCAAAGTACAAGTTTAAACAACAAAATGACGGTTTGGGATGTGGATATAGGGATGCAGCAAAGAATGCGGCCACGAGAGTTCTTGGGTTCAGTGGGGACTTAGGAGATGTTTGCCACATTCTTACCTAGTACTGGGTAATGAACCCTCACAAGAAGGTTCCACAGTGGCCGGAACCAGGGACGAAGGTCATGCAGTCTCCCTGCCTGAGCACCGCCAGAGGAGAGAACCCGCTCAGACTTGGGGAGTTTGTGTTTTGTTTTGGGCCACACCCAGCAGTGCTCAGGATTTACTTCTGGCTCTGCACTCAAGGATCCCTTTTGGTAGGCTTAGGGGACCATATAAAGTGCCAGGGGTCGAATTCAAGTTGGCCACATGCACGGCAAACTCCCCACCCACTGTACTACAGCCCCGTGGGGAGCTTTTTCTTGCTTTTGTAATGTTTTCAAGCCTTATCTGGCAGTGCTCCGGGCTTACCCCTGGAAGGCTCTGGGTACCATATGGGGTGCTGGGGATTGAACCGCAGTGTGCTGCATGCAAGGCAAATGCTCTCCCTGCTGTGCTGCTGCTCCGACCCCGCGGTCTGGGCAGCTTTCCTGGAACAGCCCTGGCCCCGTGCTAGGCAGTTAGGGGAAGGCCGAAGCTGTGTTTCTTTCTGATGAAACCCAGCACACATTGCTCACAGAAGTCTGTGTTGTTGATTCTGTCTCCTGATTTGCGACAAACATCCAGAGCCGAATGTGCATGTGCTCTAGCCCAGCATTTGCACGCTTGCTCAGCCCCTTCCAGGCTACCTGGCATGTTCCTTAAGCTATTTTTTTGTTTTTATTTTATTTTGTTTCATATGTAGTTATTTTTTGCTTTTTGGGCCACACCTGGCGATGCACAGGGGTTCCTCCTGGCTCACACACTCAGGAATTACTCCTGGTCGTGCTCGGGGGACCATATGGAATGCTGGGAATCGAACCTGGGTCAGCCTCATGCAAGGCAAATGCCGTACCTGTTGTGCTATCACTCCAGCCCCCCTATTTTTTGTTTTTAAGCGGGGGCCAAACCCAGCTCAGAACTTACTCCTGACTACCCTCCTGGTGGGGCTTAAAAGACTTTATGGGGTGCTGTAAATAGAACCCAGGGCAGCTGCATGCTAGGCAGGCTCCTGTCTGCTGTATTTCTCAGGCCTTACACTCTGATCTGTTGAGTCTTTTTCCTTGCTTGAGTGCAGATCACTTGCACAGGACACTCAGGTGAGGGTCACTCCACAGGACACTCAGGTGAGGGTCACTCTCACGGGTCTCTCGGGTATGGGCCTGAGCAATTGTGTGTTGGAGAAGACCTCGCTTGCCCTCATGGAGTCTCTGAGCTGGGAGCATAGGCGTACGCATGAAGGAAGGTTGATGCTAATATGTCTGAGAACAGGAGATGCGCCAGACACCTAGAATTGGTGTGACCGTCACCTCTTGTCTGTCAGGGCTGGATCGCCCCTTTTCCGTACAAGAAAGATAGGTCCCTTCAGGCCCAGGAGAGGGTCTCACACGGGGACACAGGGAGACCAGAAGGGGCCAGGGTCAGTTACAGGGCATGGAGCTAGGCAGCAGCTTAGGTCTGGCTGCTCAGGGCATGCCTGTAGAACTAGCTGCTAAGACTGCTCGGCCTTGATTCCAGAACCTTCTCTGGCTTAGTCACTTGCTGGTAGCACTTTGCAGGATCTGCTCTCTGCACCCTTGCTAATTGATCAAGATCTTTTTGCTCTCTCCTCTCTTTTTTATTTTCCCTCCTTTCCAGGAAGGGTTAATGCACAGGACCAAATGGACAATGTGTATCTGTGTCTGTATCTGTCTCTGTGTCTGTGTGTGTCTGTGTCTATCTCTCTGTCTGTATCTGTGTGTCTGTATCTGTCTGTCTGTGTGTATGTGCATCTCTGTGCCCCGTCATACTGAGAGTTAGAGTTAGGCCAAAGTGCCCAGAGCTCCCCGGTCTCTCCTGCGGATGTAGGGACCAGGGACAGCTTTGGGGAGTGGCTGCGAGAGCACTGCAGGAGGGAAGTCACCAGCAACACCCCAGACACATGGTTTTGAGGAAGGGCTCGCCTGGCGGGCATCCGTTCCTGCTTCCCTTCTTTATCGGGAGCAAGTGAGGAAACCAGTGCCTGGCCCTGACCAGAGCGCCCTGGGCCTGGAGCCCACCCGTGGGGCCACCAGCCCTGCTGAGCGCAGAGTATGGCAAAATCTCGGGAGTATTTTGTTCCTTTGGACAAGCAACTCCCTTCCTGAGTTGAACCTCAGATCACAGGCAGGAGCAGAAATAAGTTTGGGGCAGGATTTAGGCCCTCCCCGAAATAAGTTTGTGTGGAGCTCAAGGCCCGGATGTGACACTCTGGATAAAGAACTCCCACCATAGGGTCAGAGAGGGGACTAGAGAGGTGACAGCAGTGGCCAAGCATTCTCCAGTGTGTGTCAGTTCAGGATCTAACTGAGATGCTACCAAGAGCTATAAACTGTTCAACGTCTCTAGGTTGGTCTTGGGGTGCCAGTCTCCTGATGCCCTTTCCAGAGCCCCTGCCCAGGAAGCCTAGAGCTGAGTATGGGGCAGTCACATTCTTTTCAAGAACACAGGACACTGGGGCTATTAGCCATAGCACAGCGGGTAGTGCGTTTGCCTTGCACACGGCTGACCAGGGTTCGATTCCCAGCATCCCATCTGGTCCCCGAGCACCACCAGGAGTAATTCCTGAGTGCATGAGCCAAGAGTAACCCCTGTGCATCGCCAGATGTGACCAAAAAGCAAAGACAAAAACAAACAAACAAAAAAACCCACGCAAGATAGCACTCTGCAGGTTTTGAAGATAAGACAGCTGCCCCAGCACCAGAAAAGGACTCGGGAAGATGGCCCAGTAACTGCTGTCCCTTGCCCTCGCGACCCAGCCCGGCCACTGCTTTCCTAGACTCAAGATTCATGCAGAGATGGGAGTTAGTGACCACCAGGCAGAGGACACTGGGAAAACTCTGACATCGTTCCTGGGGATTCACATACTTTTTTTTTTTTAATTGAATCACCGGGAGCTAGTTACAAAGCTTTCATGTTTGCGTTTCAGTCATACAATGATCAAACACCCATCCCTCCACCAGTGCACATTTTCCATCACCAATGTCCCCAGTATCCCAACCCCCACACCCCATTCCACCCCCCTCCCTGCCTCCATGGCAGACAATTTCCCCCACACTCTCTCTCTGCTTATAGGTATTACGGTTTGCAATACAGATACTGAGAGGCTATCATGTTTGGTTCTTTATCTACTTTCAGCACACATCTCCCATCCTGAACGATCCCTCCAACCATCATTGACTTAGTGATCCCTTCTCTATCCCAGCTGCCTTCTCCCCCAGCTCATAAGGCAGACTTCCAACTCTGGAGCAATATTCCTGGCCCTTGTCTCTACTCTCCTTGGATATTAGTCTCATATTATGATATTTTATATTCCACAAATGAGTGCAGTCATTCTATGTCTATCCCTCTCTTTCTGACTCATTTCTCTTAGCATGATACTCTCTAACACCCTCCACTTATTAGCAAATTTCATGACTTCATCTTTCATAACAGCTGCATAGTATTCCATTGTGTAGATGTACCAAAGTTTCTTTAACCAGTCGTCTGTTCTCGGGCACTCAGGTTGTTTCACTATTCTGGCTATTGGATTCACATGCTTTGTAAGAAGTGTCTGTGGAGGTCAGATTGATTGTGCAAGAGGGCACTTACCTTGGGCACGCTGACCTGAGTTTGATCCCTGGCACCCTGTATGGTCCCCTGAGCCCCACCAGGAGTGATCCTTGAGTCAGAGCTAGGAGTAGGCCCTGAGCAGCACCTGTTGTGGCCCCCAAATTAAATAAGCACCTGACCTGCCCAAACTAGACTTTCATGTTTGGGCCACGCCACATGAGGGTGGCTGATGTTTTCTTTCCCAGAGACCCACCATGATGGTGCCAAGGCCTGAGGACCCTCCTTGACCCATTTGTGCTATGGCCTCACTGGAGGCAACAAAGTGACACCAGCACTCAGAGTTGGAACTAGGGCCAGGTGTTCCTATCACCCGCTCCCCCCTGCCTGCAAAAGGCCTGTGTCTCATGTCCCCACACCTGGGGTCACTGTGCCGGCTTACACCCGGACTAGATGCATCACTTGCTGCTGGGTCTCGGGCCTTCAGGACGCCCAGCGTTCCCTGCACTGCTGAAGGCCTGCAGTCCACACTGCCCTGACCTCCACCCTAGGACTTCACGCATGGGCTCCAATGGCCAGCACTTTCTGGAAAAGCCTAGCACCTTCCAGGTTCCTGCAGGCTCTGCTCCCCTAGGCCACACTCTCCCGCTTGTTCCAGGGAGGAAGGCTGACCGCTGGGCACCCTCAGTGCCTGTCTTCATGATCGCCCCTCCACTGGAATATGAGCTTGTGTGGTCTTCTGGTCACTGCCCACCCCAGAGCCTGGAACGTGCTGACACAATGGTGTCTGGTGAGGACTGGGGAGGGTCTCTGCTTTCAACTTTCTTTCTGCAGCCCCCCACTACCCCCCGCACCCGTTCTGAGAATAGTGAAAGTACCGTTTACCCAAAGGCCAGTTTCACTGAGAGGCATGAGGCGAAAGGGCTCGGGGCTGTCTGGTTGCTTGTGAAATGAATCACCAGAGGATTTGCTCACCAACCTCAGCCTCCCGCCCTCCTCTTGTCCCCAGAGATGGGGTTTCCAGGAGGGGACAGAAGATGCTCTGCCTTCTCTCAGGCTGAGGGGAACAGCATCAGAGATGGAGATGTTGGCTGTCCTCCCACTTTTCTTTGTACCCATGGTTCTTCTCGCCCGAGTCAGGAGGTAGCGTGGAAAACCAGAGGCTGGAGAGATAGGACAGTGGCCGGCACGTGCCTTGCACTAGATCCCTGGCATCTAGTCCCCTGATCACCAGAAGTGATCCCTGTGCACCATCAGATGTGGCCCCCAAACAAACTAAAACAGAACTAGGAGCACAGGGGCAGTTGGCAGGTACTGGGTGTGGCCCGAGGAGGATTGGTTCTGCAGTGACAAACTTCCCAGCGTGATGACAGTGCTGTGACTAGAATGTCTTAGGCACAGCCAGGAGAAGTGGTGGTAGTGGTGGTGGGTGGGGGGATGGGGGGTTCAGTGATCAGCCCGGCCCAAATCATAGTGTCTTCTTTAGAATTTTCAGCCCTCTTCCCAAGGTGATTTCTAGGGGTGGGGAAACTCAGGACAAGCTACTCTAAGGTGATGCTGACTCTCTCCTTTCCAGGACCCAGGAGACAAGTGACAAAGAACAGTCCCTCTTTTTTTTTCTTTTTGGGTCACACCTGGCAATGCACAGGGGTTTCTCCTGGCTCTGCACTCAGGAGTTACTCCTGGCGGTGCTCAGGGGACCATATGGGATGCTGGGAATCGAACCCGGGTCGGCCGCGTGCAAGGCAAACGCCCTACCCGCTGCGCTATCGCTCCAGCCCCAACAGTCCCTTTTTCGCCTCACCCCAGCACTTGACCAACCTTTTCTTTTGCTAATTTGGTACTGAAAAGTGTTCTTGGACCCATATCCTGGATGGGCCTATTGGGAACATCAGGACCCATCCAGGTCAGCTGAACTCTGTCTCTGCTGGTCTTTTTTCTCCCTCGGTGGGTTGCAACTACGGCAGAAACTTGAGCCCCCATCAAACAAGCTTCCCCACCCATTCCTCCTGCACCCCCATGCCATCCCCACCCCACAACCCACCCCTTCTTTCTTTAAACTGTCCGCAACTTGCTGAGACTCCTGGGCTGAGCCCCCTGGAGGAAACCCTGAGTAAGTCAATCCTAGCGGCGGCTGCAGTGCGCCTGGTGGGGTTCCCCTGCTGCTGGGCACAGAGGCCAGCGCAGGTCAGAGCAGGGAAAGGTCAGGGAGCCAGTGGGCTGCCAACGCCCCCAGTGCCCGGGGTTTCCCTGTCCTTTCCTGTCCTTTCCCCAGAGCCTTCCCCGCCTTGGGGGACCCGGGAAATTTCCCAGAACGAGGCGCGCTCTCGGCCCACGGCCCGCGTCGGCGCCCGCCCGAGGACTCGCGGGACGTGCAGATGATGGAGGGGAGAGGGGGCGCGGCCCCTCTGCGCCCCAACCTCGCCTGCATCCCCGCGCGCGCGCGCGGACCTCGCGCCGCCGCGCCCCTCCACGCTCCTGGCCAGAGTTCCAGCCCGGGGCGCTGGCGGGTCTCCGGCTCGGGCGCGCGTGGGGCCTGGGGAGGGGCGCGCGCGGGGCTGGGGCCCGAAGCCCACGCCGCGCTCCGATTCGCACCCGGGCCCGCCCGCTGGACGCCGCGACCGGGAGGGGAGAGCCGGGACCTGCCTCTGCAGGAGCTCCTGGGGACCCCCGGGCCCACCTCCCCGCTCCCGCGCCCCGGGGAGATCGGGAAGGTGCGCGCGGCTCTCGGGGAGCCGAGACAGTGGCCGGAGCGGCCGCCCTCCGCCGCCGGCGTCCCCGCTCCGCGGTCCCCTCTGTCCCCTGCCGCCCAGACGTCCTCCCGGGCTGCCCCCCCCCCCTCCCCGCCCGCGCCGGCGCTCCGTCCTGGGCGGGCGGCGAGGGTCGCGGGCAGAGGTGCGGCGGCCGCAGAGCGTCGGGGCCTGTGACCTTCGGGCGGGCAGGAAGACGCGGCCGCGAGGGGACCGGGAAGTCCCCGCGGCGCCAACCCCGGTTTCCCACCTGGGTCCCCCCGGCCGCCCCGGGGCCCGGCGCCACGTGACTTCCACGGAGGGCGGGAAGCGGCCGGGAGAGGCTGGGGACCGCGAGGGGCGGCGGGGCGGGGCGGGGCGGGGGCGGCGCCGGCAGGTGCGGGCGCGGGCGCGGGTCCCCGCCGCACCGCTGCCGCCCGGCATGTCGCAGGGCCCGGGGGCCGGCGGCGTCCTGCACGCGCGCGCGGGCGCCCTGGGGAGCCAGCCGCCGCCGCAGGTAGGGGCCGGGCGCCGGGCTGGGGGTCCCGGGAGGCCGCCGATGCGGGGGTGGGGGGGCGCGGGCCGCTTCCCCGCGCGGGTTCGGCGCGGGTGAGGGCGCGGGGCGGGGAGCTCGCCGGGGCTGCGGGGCCCCTGCCCGGTAGCGCTTGGCCCCGGCCGGCCAGACCCGCGCTGGGCGCGGCGCTCGGACACCTGCCCTGGCCGAGTCTCGGCCTCTCCCGCTCACGCGTGAGCGGACGGGTCCCGCGGCAGGGAGTGGGCGACCCTCGCACCCCGACTCCCGACCCTCGCTCCTGTCCGGGTGGGGGCGCCGGGCAGGGGTGAGCGGGAGAGCGAGCGGTGGAGGCCCTGCTGTGCCTTTCTGATGAGGAACCGCAATATTTAGGGGGGGAGGGGGAGGCCGCGGATCAGAAACAAACGGGGGCGCAGAGACAGAGAGAGTAGCGGGGTAGAGCATTTGCCTTGCACGTGGCCACCGGGGCTTGATCCCCGAACCCCGTAGGGTGCCCCTAGGAGCGATCGTGAGCCCAGAGCCAGGATTAAGCCCCAAGCACCACGGGTGTGGTCTAAAAGCAAAACAGAACTTAACAGGGCTAACAGGGCTGCCGGTGGAGCGGGGCTACAATGGGTAGGGTGTTGCCTTGCACACCACCAACGTGAATTTGATTCCTGGCACCCCAAAGGGTCCTGCCAGTACGTGCAGGAGTGATCCCCGAGTGCAGAGTCAGGCGTAAACCCGGAGCACTGTTGGGTATTGGGTATGGCCCCCCAAAAACAAAAGCCATAATAATAGCAGGAAGGAAAAATAGTATAGGAGAAAGTCCTGAGTACAGCCAGATGTGACCAAAGTCCCCCCACCGCCCCTCACTGTTTGAATTATTTTTTTAAAACAGCAAGGGCTTCTTGGGGACAGCTGGGCTGGGTGCTTCGGGAGAGGCTGTCCTGCCAATCCCAAGCTCAAAGTGTCACTGTGCTGGTCCGGGTGCTGTAGCAGCCCTGACCACACGGGGGGAGCCTCAGTCCTGCTCGGCCATGGCTGAGGGCAGGGGCTGCCCAGCCTTCCCTCCGCTCCCCGGGCCTCTCTGACCCTCTGGGCCCCGGTGCCCAATCCCCTCTGTGGTTCATCTGTGTCTACTAAGTCTCCTTGGGGTCTCATGTCCATTTCCTTTGCCATGCGACTTCTCTCCATCCCTGGGTGGGGGGACAGTCCTTTCCCTGCACAAACCTGCACAGACCACCTCAGTGTGTTTCTCTCTGTGTGGCGAGGGGTGGACGGTTGGGTCCACACCCAGTAGTGCTCAGGGCTCACTTCTGGCAGTGAAGAACTCACTTCTGGCTGCTCACTTGGGGCATCGTATGTGTCCGTAGGGATCAAGCAAGCGTCAGCTACGTGCACGGCCAGCCCTGTGTTCTCTCTGCCTCCCTCCCTGAGCGTCTCTTACCTGGAACACAAGCTCGATGACGGGAAATGCCTCTGCTTTCCAGTTATCACCATGAGTTTCATACCCAGCATTTCCTGGCTTTGAAGCTCTTCAGTGGCAGATTCCTGTCCCTCGTGGTGTCCTATCATGGGGTTTGAGAAGGCAAAGCATCTCCCCCTCCATTGTCCTGGCTGAATGAAGCTGTTGCTTGCCTGATGGTTTCTGTTCTTTCGGCTCCTGGCCATCTCTTTCCTGCCCACCCTGCTCTAGACGCCCACCTTGCTCTAGACGCCTTGCTCAAGATCGCAGGGGGTGGGGTGGGGTGGGGTGGGGTGGGGAAGGGGGGAGCACTGGGCTGAGTTCACTGGGTTCGTTCTTAGCTCCGTTGAATTTTGCTTTCTAGTTTACTCTGAAAGCAGAGTGAAATCTGCAATGGCAGAGCCCTCTGCAAAGCTCTCCAGAGGGGGCTAATGATTTGTACCCCCCCCCCAGTGTCTGTTGGCACAGAGGCAGGGAGCCTGGCACACAAGCTCCCTTCTCCAGTCTCCAGGCAACCATGCCCAGGTCCCCCAGGCATGCGCCCAGTGGGCGGGGTTGCTGGACACAGGCCTGAACTCACTTCCTGTTCCTCTGCCTCCTTGCTGCTACCTGCGGGCAAGTTCCCCAAGCCTGAGTTTCTGATTCCTTACCCCCAGTGTGGCCACACCCTGCGCCCCCAGAACTCAGCGGGTCCCCTAGCTGGAGGGTGGGGGAGAGGGCGTCCTCGGCCTCCACAGCCTGCCTGACTCTGCTTCCCACAGAGCCCCCAGGACCATGACAGGAAGGTCCGCAGGAGGGAGAAGAACCGGGTGGCCGCCCAGAGGAGCCGCAAGAAACAGACCCAGAAGGCAGACAAGCTGCACGAGGTGAGGGGCCAGGCGGACCCGGGCCCCAGCCAACCCCCTGCCTCTCCCTGCGGGATTCAGAGCTGCCCCAATCCCCACCCACCAGCTGCACCTCCAAACCAGAGAGACCACTGCTGTGGCCATTCCCACCCACCCCACCTCACACTCACAACACATGCCAACAACGGACACACTCACAACACGTGCCAACACTGCACACACTCACACTTCACACGCTCACACATCACACGCTCACAACATGTGCCGACACTGCCCACACTCACATGTTATGTACACACATTACATTGTCACCATACTGCACACTTAATACAGCACATAGTCACATGTTATACATGTCACATACCGCACATACTGCATACATTTCACACTCACACATGGTGCATGTTACCACTCCACACGCACACCATACTCTCCTCACGTGTTACACACCCCATAGCACCGCACACATTCCGCACCCATCACACATAACACACACAACACAGATACAGTGCACAAAGACCCATAGACACACCGTGTGCTTTCCCACACACATTTCTCACACTTTCCTCCTCATACTTGAAGCTCTTGCGTACTCTTGACTCACACATTCACACTCACACACCATGTAGTCTCACATGCTCCACATACATTCTCTTACACTCATTTACATTCACGCACATACTCTCACAACACTCATGCTCACACACTCACACACATACACTCTCACAGTACTCACACACAATCACACACACAAACTCTCACTACACTCATTCAAACTCATACACACATACTCTCTCACATATATTCATACACTCACACACATACTCACACATGCACAGATGCTCTCTCTCACACACACTCTCACACACTCACATACACACTCTTACACTCACACATGCACACATGCTCTCACACAATTACACACACACTCACATATGTTCATGCACACGCATATATGCCCTCACACACTCACACACTTACTTTCACATACACTCACACACATACACATATTCTCTCACACACACATACTCTCACATTCACACATACTCATACACATACTCTCACAACACTTATACTCACACACATACACATGCTCTCATACACGCATACTCACACACTCATTATAACACACTTATTCTCATACACACTGAACACAACATGTAACACCCACACACCCTCACACACACTCAACTCTCATCCACATACACTCACACACATACACTCACAGTCATAGTCACAGCCACACACTCACACTCATACACAATCACTCACACACTCCTGCTTCCTATACCCCACTGTGGCCACTGCCACTCCTGGTCCTGGTCCTGGTCCTGGTCCTGGGGAGCCCTGGCCCTTCCCTCTGGGGACTTTGGCACTCCGCTGCTCCTGACCTCTGACATGGCTCCTGTGTCTGGACGCCGCCGCCTGAAGGCCCAGTATGGTGACTATATAATGTCTTATTGGCGCTGTGCCCCTGACTGCGCTGGCCCTCCCCTGCCCGGGCCATCCCAGATCTGGCGAATGCCTACCTTGTCTCTGGACCATGGTTCCCTGCCCAGCCTGAGACTCCTCACCCCCACTAGAGGTGCAGCTGACCTGGCGCCCATGTCCTCCCCGCTCCCTGGGAGACCAGGCCACCCTCACAGCCCAGGGTGTCATTTGGGGATAGGCCAGGACAGGCCTGCCCAGTGCGGGACCCATCTGAGCAGCTGAGCCCCCACCCGCGCTGCCCAGCCCTCCCCACAGCCGCTTGTCCCAAGCCGTCCCACTCCGTCACTGTCGTGAACTGAGGATTTGGCCCGGCACGGGGCACCAGGGCTCTGGGCATCCCTGGACTGGGCAGCCCTGCCCTTTGCACCGGAAGCTATCATATCAGGAGGGGTGCCGCCAGGGTCGGTAGGTTGGCCCTTCCCAGCAGACCCCTCTGGCACTCCTTAGCATGTCCAGTGGTGGTGCCAGCCCTTCCGAGGGACAGAGCTGAGGTGGGCAGGGTGCCGGCCACTTTGCCGGGATTGGAGTGTCCTCTGGTGCTGCAGTGGGAGAATGAGGGTCTGTCCTAGCCCCGGGCCCCGCATGCCTGCACCCCTGCATGGCCGGGCCGGCCGCTGCCCCTCGCTGTGGTAGCTGCTCCCACAGACCCGCTCCCTCTGATCTCAGCCACCATGAGGCCCCTGGCCCCTGCTGACCCTCTGGAAAGACCATCACCTGCCCCAGTCTCTCCTCTGTCACGGGGCACTGGCTCTCTGTACGCAGAGTCGGGGCAGGGGGCTGTGGAAGATGCCTGAAGGTCCAGTGTTCCGAAAACAGGACCCTCTGTCCCTGCAGAGCCCCACCCAAGCCGGGAAGCCCAGTGGGGACCTGGCATGACCCACTGACGCACTCGGAGCGGGACTTTGGCCCGGCTGTCAGGTCCAGCTCTGGGGCCCAATTATGGGACCCACTGTGGGGCCTGGCTCCAGGCTCCAGCACATTCTCTGCCCCTGAGGTGACCACTTATGCTAGTGACTGATGTGCACGCCTCCCTGCCCCCTCTCATCCCCAGGCCTCATGAAAGCCCCTCACTAGCTCTGCGATGAAATTTAACTCCCAGAAGAGATAACCCAGCACGTGGGAGGGGTGGTGGCCTGGGTGGGGTCTGCGTCCTTTCCAGCTGGGTTTCAGGAAGCAGCGTCCCAGGAAGGGAGCTCACAGGGTCTGACTCAGTAAAGGTTTCTGAACCTTTGGACGCCCTGTTGCACCCCTCCTGGATGGCTTCAGGGGCAAAGGGCAGCCCAGTCCAGGGACACCCCCCTCCCCCCCCGCTGGAGGGTCCAGGAGGTGGGCTGATTAGAGGCCGAGTCAGGTCTAGCACAGACACCAGGAACACCAGCACCCCACAGCCCACAGCGGCTAGGACAGTCGGGGACGAGGTTCTAAAGGAAGAAATAAATCACGGCCAAGTCGGAGGGCGGGTACCAGGTGAAGGGCTGCAGGAGCAGAGTGGGCTGGGGGTGGCTCAGCTGGGTGGTCCTGGAACAACTACAGCTGGTGGCTACCACTGGAGGTGCTAACCCTTGCAGCCCAACAGTTTGTGGGGGGATCTGTACCTGTGAATGGGTCACGGCCCTGCCCCTTGGAACAATGGAAAGGAGCCCCCTCCCGTGATGGGTGGGGAGGGGAGCCCCACCCCAGTCTGCTCTCTGTTTGCACACGTCTGTGTTCTGTGCATGTTGGACATATCATGTGTGTCTTGTGAGTGTTTCACGTCTGTTGTATATTCTTTGTGCATTGTGTGTACTGTTTTCATATGTGTGTGTTGTGCACACATGAAGTATATGTGTTGTGTATGCTGTGTCACGGTTGTGTGCACCATGTATTGTGTGTTCTTTTGTTTGTTTGTTTTTGGGTCACACCCGGTGTTACACAGGGGTTATTCCTGGTTTATGCACTCAGGAATTCTCCTGGCAGTGCTGGGAGGACCATATGGGATGCCGGGGATCGATCTCAGGTCGGCAACATGCAAGGCAGACGCCCTTTCTGCTGTACTATCTCTCCGACCCTGTGCTGTGTATTCTTAGGTAGGCATGTGGTATGCTATTGTCTGTACACACGAATGTGTGCATATGTGTGTACTGGGTGCGGGGTGGGGGCAGAGATGTTTACGGGGCCTGAGGGCGTGTTTCTTTGGGGAAAGAGATGGTTGGTCTTTCCTGACCCACAAGGCTCTCTGCATCTGTCAGGATTCCGTGACCTGCACCCCTAACACAGGCATGTGGACAACTGGGAGATCCCTTGAGCCTGAGCGTAACATGGCAGCATTTGCCCAAAGCAGTCGAGTGATTGTAGTTTAGGGGTGACCTGGCGTCCGTGCAGGCTCCAGCCCCCACTGCTCTCCGGGAGAGGCTGAGGCAGGAGCTGGGGGTGCGCCGGGGTGCGGTTCTGATGGGTGCCCGTGTCCCCCCAGGAGCATGAGAACCTGGAGCAGGAGAACTCGGCGCTGCGCCGGGAGATCAGGGCCCTGACGGAGGAGCGGCAGAGGCTGAACGAGGCACTGCAGGCGCATGAGAGGCGCTGCCCGCTGCTGCCCCCCTCGGCTTCGCACCCACGCTCCGGCCTGGCCCTGCTGCCTGCCTGCCCAGCTGAGGCGCTGAGCTGCTGGACACGTGGGGCTCAGCGTCCCGTGGACCAGTGCACAGAGCTCAGCCTCCCCTGGACACGCGGGGCTCAGCCTCCCTTGACCAGCACGCGGGACTCAGCCTCCCCCGGGGCTCAGCCTCCCCTGAACTTAACTTAATCTGCTGCACTGGCGCCGCTTCCTGGGTCCGTATTAGAAGAAGGCGGCCCGAACTCTGGAGGCCATGCACGCACCACACAGGTCACCTGATGTCCACAGACCCACATGGGTCACCTTGATGTCCATGAATCCATGTGAGTCACCCAGTGTCCACAGACCCACACAGGTCACTGCTGTCCACGGACGCACACGGTCACCCACTGTCCACGGTTGCACGTGGTCATCTGCCGTCTACAGATGCACATGGTCATCAGCTGTCCCTGGACACTCTGCAGACCCATGAGGTCTGGCTTCCCGGCTGACCACCCCCAAGGTTCCTCCCTGCTGGGGGGCTGTGAGCCAAACCAATGGGACCCCTAAGTGCTGGACCATCCTGAGGGGCTTTGGCTTCAGCCCAGGCCTCCCCCAGGCCCCCCGTTCTGGAAACTCAGGATGGGCTTCAGGTCGGTGCCGGTGCTGCCTGTGATCGGGTCCCCTGAGGGGTGGCTGCGCTGAGTGAAATAAACGGGTGTGTGAGGAGAGAAGGGGGCTCCTCTTCCAGGCTCCGGTCTCCCTTGCCCAGAGAGCAGGAAGGCGTGAGGCTCGGGGTGTCCATGGGAGAGCAGACGGGCTCTCGCTCCCGTCTTTGAGAGCCAGCTGTTGGGGGGCAGCATGCAGGGGCAGGGAGGGGAGCAGTACCCGTGACCAGGTGACAGCTGTGACCCACAGGGTTTCCCTGTGCACCCTGTTTTCCAGGCAAGGCTCCGGCCACCTGCTCCCAGACTTGTCCTGTTCTCCCAAGGACACCCCTTAAGGCGGGGCTGTGGGGCTGTGTGACCCCTGACCCCTGGAGGAGCCCAGAATAGTCTCAGGGTCTGGGTCTGGGAGGCTGCGGGGTTGCCAAGATCAACCAACATGCACCTCTGCTTCCAGCCGTCCCCGGGACCTCGTCACACTCATTGTCCTAGAGGACCCCCAAGCCCTGTGTCCCCAGCAACCCACCCTGCAGCTGCCCACAGCCCTGAGGGTGGGCCTGGGCAGAGCGTCAGGCCCCCGTGGAGGGTGCCAACAGCCGCCCCTCGAGGCTCAGGCAGGCCAGGGGGAGTGGGGGACTAAGCCCCTCCCCACGGAGCTGTACCTCTTTCTCTCCACAAACCCCTGGTTTCCATCTGGGAATCAGGCCTGCAGCCTGGAGGAGGGGTGATTGGGCAAGGGACGAACCCAGTCCCCCACCCCACCCCGCAGTGACCAGGATGCTCTGGGCAGTGGGGCGGCTGCAGCCCAGAAGGCCACGTAAGGAGGAGTGTGGAACTCCCCAACTCCAGGGCCCCGGGGCTCCCTAGCGACCCCACCCCCACGATGATGGGCTGTTCTAGTGCTGAACTCACAGTTGACCCCTGGCTGTCCCTTCCCCAACCTGCTCTGTGCGAAGGATCTGGGTCCAGCATGCGGCAGCATGTGGGAAGGCTCGTCCCAACCCCAGTCCTGCCTGGCCTCTCCCCCAGGTCCTGGGCCAGCCCCTCCCTGGATGCAGCTCCCCTGCCCCTTACGGGTCCCAGCCTGACCTTTGTCCACACCATCTTCTCAAGCTCCCAAACAACATCGCAGCTCAGACCAGACCCCTCGCCCGAATTCTGCCCCTGGGGAGAGACTCCAGGGCTGTCCCAGACGCAGGGGCAAGAGCTGGTGAAGAGCTCAGAGCTTCCTGGCCTCTTCGGGGACCGGACTGACACATCTGTGCCCACTAGGGTCCCTCGTTCAGCCCGGGTCCACCCAGTCCACTCGTCTGCCCGGGTCCACTCATCCACCAGCCTGCTTGGACAGTGAGCAGGAGATGGCACCTTGTGTCCAAAGGGGTGAGTAGGGGCCTGATGCCGTCCGGGCGTGTGGGCTGCTGTTGCCCGCTGCGTCCTCGCCACATTTCCTCTCTCTGAGCTGCTCTTCGGGGCCCGGAAGCTCGCCCAGCACAGGGTCACCCCAGTTTGGTCCCCAACACATTTGGGGAGGGGTGTGGCGCAGCACCCCTCCCCCGCCGCAAAATAAAGCCTGAGGAGATTTTCAGGGGCTGCACAGACCCCTTCAGTTCGGGGCTCAGGGTTCATCCCCCATTTTTATTGCAATGGCCTGACGTGTTAGTGTTAATGACGGTTCCATGCACACGTGGTTCCAGCGCCGCTGCCCGCGCAAGAGTTGCGTCCTCCATCCGTCCCAGGAGGCTCGTTCCCGCTGGGGAAGGCTTCAGTCCGGAGGCCTTTGGCCATCTGTTGTTCCCTTACTGAGCCGCATTATTGCCCACAGAGGTCGGGGTCCTCCTGTGCCTCCCCTGGTTCACAGGACCCCCGACCCATCCGCCCTGCTCCTTGGCAAGGTCCCGCGAGAGGGCTCACGCGCAGAAGAGCCCCCAGCCGAGCGCTGTCCTGATCTGCTTCCCCACCCCGGCCCTGATGTGGATGCTTTCCCCCTGCTCCAGTCACACGCTCCCAGCAGGGGCCCACCCCCTGTCATTTCCCTCATGTCCCCTTCCTCCACTGGACTTGGCAGCAACGTCCACGAAACCAGACAGAACAAACCTATGTCACAGATGAGGCTGCTCTTCCACACTGGTTGCTCCAGGTTCGAGGAAGAAGCAGGTGCCCCCTGACGTCCTTCTGGGAGCCGCACTCGGGATGGCCTGCCTGCTTCCGAGAGGCATCTGGTCCTCAGAGTCAAGCGAGTGGACGTGCAAATGCCGCTGGCCCCGCCACGCCTGGGAGGGTGGAAGCACCCGGCCCCTCGCCTCTTAGCAGCCTCACACTCCTGCCCGGTAACCCAGCACTGTGCAAACGTGGCCAGCGGCCGCCCAAGCTCCAGTGCCCCTTAGAAACAGGATTTGAGCCTGTTGGGGCTGGTCACTTCCCTTCTGCTGTTCAACTTTCGGCTGCAGTTATCAGGAACTGAGCGGCCGGGCCGCTCCATGGAGATGGCTGTGCATGCACTTCTCACCTCAACTCTGCTCCTGGCATGCAGCAGAGGAACCTGCAGGCACGTCCCTCATTGACCGCAGGGCACTGTCCCACAGGGGCACTGCAGGGACCTCCCTCCCAAATGCCCTGCCCGCTACTCTCTCAGGCATGCAGTTTATATGTTTTCTAGAGGTTTCCAGGAAACTCGTGCATATTCTTGAGTGGGAAGGGGGAGGACTGGTCCAGGAAGGAGGGCGAGGGGGCACGTGACACAGGAAGGAGGGATGCGGGGACTGGCTCAGGAAGGAGGAGAGGGACCAGCATGGAAGGTGGTCGGGGTGGCCTGACAGGTCCCCTGTGGTTTTGGTTTGATGAGGTGCAGAGAAGCTGGAGGTAGGGAAGGCGTGGAGTCTCCTGCTGTGTTCCAGCACCACACACACCAGGAAGAAGGGAGTGGACAAGTTGGCTTGGGGAGCACCCATGGATGACCTCAGGGGCAGTCCCTGAGCCACAGCGCCACCTGGTGCGAGTGGCAGGCAAGAGGGTGTGGGTTGGGTGTGGTGTGGGGAGTGTGAGTCTGTGTGCATGTCTGTGTGTGCATCCCCGTCTGTGTGTGCTTGTGGTTTTGTATCTCTGTTGGAAGCATGCCTCTGTGTGTGTGTGTGTGTGTGTGCGCGCGCGCGCATGTGTGGGTGTGGGCCGTTTGAGTCTGGCACCACACATGGCCCCAAGTACCCAAGTACTGGTCATAGGCCCAGCATCCTCCGTGCCCCAAATAGAATAAGGAAAAGGAGAAAAGAGACAGATGGGCAAAGAAGATTCTGGCTCAGCTGTCCAGCCTGGCCACGGCAGAGAGCTCTGTCTGACTCAGCCTGTCCCCTTGTCTGCCCGACAGTGCAATGGGAGCCCCTCCTGGAAGCTGACGCAGAGTGGGGGTTGGCCCACGCCTTCCCTGTTCAGCCCTCAGCCTCTCCTGGGCTGGCCAGAGGCCTGGACAGCTTCCCACTGCCCTCTGTACCCAGGGCTGGGGCTTCCCTAGGGAAGCTCCCCTCAGCTCAGCACAGGGATCCCCGGGGCTAGGGTGGTTTTTTCTTTTTCTTTGCTTTGGTTTTGGGGGTCAGTGCTCAGGAGAGCATGTGTGCCCGGAACGGGGGCTCCTGTACCCAGAGTGTATACCAACCTTCCAGCCCCCCAGCCTCTGCTGTGTGCTGAGCACTCGGGGGCCCTCCTGGCCCTGTCCAGCTGCCCCAGGGGGTGGATGCCAACATTGCCCTCCAGTCTACCCCTCTGGGCTTATTTGAGATCCAGTAAATGCTGGGTGGGGCGGGTTTTCCCTGTGCTTATTTGCATGATATTTGCATAAGTTACCATAACCCCCAAGGCAGCCTCCCCTGGGGATTCAGTTTCCTACTGTCACTGTCCAAAGCCTGGCTTAGCCCTCAGAGAGGAGAGAGGTCCCCTCGTCAGCTGTGCCCTGGTCCCCTGAGTACTCGCTCTAATGAAGGGCCTCTGCTTCTACACCCTGAAGTTTCCTGGCCACTGCCAGGAGAGGGATTCAGTCCTGTGGGAGCAGGGGGAAGGCAAGGTGTAGAGTGAAGCCCGAACAGGGCTGGGGCGGACTGGAGAGGAGGAGACTGAGGTTCCGTCCTCTCCCACCTGGCTTCCTCCCGTGACTGCCAGGGCCTCCTGACACACCCCAGGAGTCCCTTGGTGTGTGACAGTGGCGGCAGGGGGCACTTAAAGACAGGGGGAGTGACGTCCTGTTGGGTGGCCTTAGCAGCAGCAGCTTCTGCCCACTGTCCTGGGCTCCACAGGGCCTCCCTCCCACAATCTCTCCTCTGGTCATTCATTGCCCTGGACACACCCATGTGGGAATGACACCAGGCTCTGGACCAGGCTGCCAGGGGACCTCATGGGGCCCCATAGCC